AGCTCTTCAGCTCAAGGCTAGTGCTCTACACTTGAGCCACTTCCAGTTTTCTGAGTGGTTTATTGGAGATGAGAGTCTCACAGACTTTCCTGCTCAGGCTGGCTTTGAACCACGATCCTCAAATCTCAGCCTCCTGAGTAGTTAGGATTATAAGCATGAGCCACAGACTTGAGGGCACTTCATATTTAAACTGTAGCAGGCCCTTTCCTTTTCCCTGCCTATGCTCATTACTTCCCTCTTTGTGTTCCTCTAACATTACTCACTTATTTTTGTTTGAACACTCTTCATTTTTATGTGGGGAGACTGGGTATGTTATTCTAATGAAGGGCTCAGCACAATTCTTGGCACATGACATGCATTCATATACATTAAATGTTTTTTTGTAATATATCTAGTAGAGAAATAGAAAGACATACACATGTATACCGTGAAAAAAAAAATAATTCAATCAGTGGTATTCACTAGTAAGAAGGTTTCTATCTAGTTCAGGTAATTGTAGTCAAATTTCATATCTGTATAGTTATTTTTCATTTGCAGTGCACTTAAACAATTTAATCTTTACAGCCATACTTTGAAGTACATGTTATTAATACCACTTTTTAGAATGGGAAAATTAATACTGAATGAGGTAAGTGAATTAGGCTTCCTAGTTAGCATGAGACATGCCAGAGATCTTGAGTTTGTTTGGAATTCCTCAGAGAAGTAGAGAACTAGTGGAAATTATCTGCATAAGTACATCAGCTTGTTGTTGTTGTTGTTTTTGTCAGTCATGGGGCTTGAACTATGGGCCTAGGCGCTATCCCTCAGCTTTTCAGCTCAAGGCTAGTGCTCTACTGCTGAGCCACAGCGCCACTTCCTATCTGCATAAGTAAGAGGAGAGATTTTAGAGAATAAAGGTATAAGAAAGAATCTCAGGGCAAAATGTTTTTAGGAAGTAACGATGAATCAATGAAGGGGGCAGAAAAGGAGAAAAATAGGACAGGTATTTCCTCCTCAAGAATCAGGGCAATAGTGAGAAGGGAGAGCTTAAGGATGAAGTCACTAGTAATCCTAGAGAGCAGTTTCAGTAGTCTGGTGTGGGCAGTAGCCAGATGGTTCCAGTGAGCTGCCCTACTCATTTCTCTAGTTCTCTGCCAACTGAAATGTTATTCATGTTCCAAAGCCCAGCTCAATCAGTGTCCTTTATGAAGCCTTACAGGATAGATACATGGTTTTATCCCCTTCTTTAACTTTTATAGCTATCTGTTTGAACTTCTTTTATATTGCTTTTCTCTTGTTGCTTATTATTATTACCACCACCCCCTTCTGCCGTCCACCTACTGGCAAACTTTGGAAACACTTGAATATATTTTCTATCTTCTTCATCTTTCTGTGGCCTATCTGCTTAGTACAAGGCCTTCTCTGTGGTAGGTGCTCAATAAATATGTTGGAAGAAGAGAACATTTCCAGATGTTGCCTGCCACATATGCATATACTGAACAAATATTTGTTGAATGCATTGGTCTCATTTTTAAAGATCCACAGATAAAAAAATAGTTTTAGCTCTTCTCTTTATAACAGTTTTCATGAGAAAGGAATCAAAATCTATGAGCCAGGATGCCATTCCTGTCATCCCAGCACTGAGCAGGCTGAGGCAGGAGGATGACGAGTGTGAGGCCCACATGAGTAGGCTACATAGCAAGACTCAATCTCAAAAAAAGCCAAAGTGAAAAAGTAAGAACTGAAAATCTGATACAGCAATAAGAAAGTACAGGTTCTAATAGGATAAGTAACTTTGCTAATATCACAAAATTAAGATGTGGCTTTAAATTGTCATATAATTCATGGGTAGGTTACTCTGGATCTCTCTTTCCAAAATATATAGACAGGCGGCTGGGAAGGTGGCTCAGTGGTAGAGTACTTGCCTTGCATGCATGAGGCCCTGGGTTCAATTCCTCAGCACCACATAAACAGAAAAAGCCAGAAGTGGTGCTTGGCTCAAGTGGTAGAGCGCTAGCCTTGAGCTGAAGAGCTGAGGGACAGCGCCCAGGCCCAGAGTTCAGGCCCCACGACTGACCAAAAAAAAAAAAAAAAAGAACCAAAATATATAGGCCAGATCCATAGGGACTAGGTACAGGCACTATGCTTGTTATTTAGTATGCAGCAATAAATTAAATAGATACACTTTCTGATTGATGACTCTATTGTAGTAGATCACTCCTATTTCTATTCTGAGTCCAACTTAACCTGCAATTAACCTTCCTCTGCAATCCTTTCTTCCTTTATTTTCTATTGTAATTCCAAGAATACTGATTGCTTAAATTAGGTGAGCCACTTCACCACCAGCAGATGTGTATTCTGAGCCATTACTCACTCCCTTTTCTCTTCTTCACCTACCAAATATCACTATCTTCTCACTCACTCTGGTTGTTTCTGTGGAGAGCCTTGATTGTTATAGCAACTTTCTTTGTTGTTTCCTTCCTCAGAAGGAAATCCTGTAGCACTTGATGATCTGAATCAATCAATGTAATTCCTAAAGTATAAATGATCTTGTTTTATGATTGTAATGTATCTTATCTCTTTTTCTTGATTGTAATTATGTAGAAAGCAGAGCTTATCCTATACTTTTTTCTGGCTTTTTTTCCTCTGCTAATCTACTTTATAATAGTAGTTACTGATGAATGTTTATGCAATATAACTAATAATATGGAGGCAATTTTTATCTGGAAATTCAAGTTGAAGCCTACCAAGATGGGAATACTATTGAGTTCATTTTCTTCTGCCCACAGTTGCTAGAGAGAGTTCATCTTAGTTTGAGTCCAGGCATTTATAATGAGAAAATCTTTTCTGTTAGTAGCAAAGGACATATATACAAAAAGATAAGATTTTTTACACTTGGACTTGTTGCTTTTCTTGCCTTAAATGATAGATAAAAAAACAGAAGCCACTGTCAACCATTCCAGTCCTGAAAACAAGAGTAGCGTCATGGAGCAGATACCATCACCAACTCAGAATACCTTCTCTGCCTCTTCTGCTAGGAGAGTGAGTACTTCAGAATTGACTTTGGTTTTATTGTTCACTACTCCAATAAATGTAGAAAGGCCTCAGAGATACATCCTTGAAGCTGGGTTGCTGGTGGCTCATACCTGTAATTCTCAGGAGGCTGAGATCTGAGGATCACAATTCAAAACCAGCCGGGGAGGGCTGGGAAGGTGGCTCAGTGGTAGAGCCCTTGCCTTGCATACCTGAGGCCCTGGATTCGATTCCTCAGCACCACATGAGCAAAAAGAAAAAAGCCAGAAATGACACTGTGGCTCAAGTGGTAGAGCGCTAGCCTTGAGCTGAAGAGCTGAGGGACAGCACCCAGGCACACAGTTCAGGCTCCAGGACCAAACCCCCCCCAAAAAACAAAACACAAAAAACCAGCCTGGGCAGGAAAATCAGTGAGATCTTATCTCCAATTAACAACCAGAAAACTGCAAGTGGAGCTGTGGATCAAAGTGGTAGAGGGCTTGTCTTGAGCAAAAAAGCTTAGGGACAGTACCCAGGCCCTGAATTCAAGCCCCACAGCCAGGAAAAAAAAATACATCTTTGGAAAACATATACATCTGTAGGACTGGGAGCATGGCTTAGATTATAGAGCCCTTGCCTTGACTTCATGCTTGAAGTCCTGAGTTCAATCTCTAATACCAACATTATCTCCAAAAGAAAGATCCACTCTTAACTTACTCTGGCTCCTATAGTTCGTGCTGCTTAAGCAATAGACATTTATTCCTAACTTTTTTGTTTTGTTTTGTTGTTGTTTTGTGTGTGTATGTGTGTCAGTGCTGGGGCTTGAGCTCTGGATCAGGGTACCATCCCTTAATGTTTTCACTTAAGTCTGAGGTTGTGCCACTTGAGCCATACCTCCACTTCTGGCTTTTGTTTAATTGGAAATGAGAGTCTCATGGATTTTACTGCCCCGGTTGGCTTGAGCTGAGATCCTCAGATCTCAGCCTCCTGAATAGCTAGAAGTAAAGATAAGAGCTATCCACACTAGGCTACTTCCTACTTTTGAAGAAGAAAAATACTAACTTGGGAAAAAAATACAAACACACACATGTACTTATTCCACTTTTATAAAAACAGAAAAAAGAAAGACTCCTCTTAAAACAGGATGGCTTGTAAAAAGCAAAGAGTACAGAAATCTGCATATTCAGATGACTGATAACAAGAAAAAAATCTTAGTGTAAGATGGAGATGAATGAGTTTGTGTTTATATTTCATTTTTCTTATACTTGACCTGGTTTGGGGAGAAAGACCTAAGCATTTTGCAGTAAACCCCGGGCCCTAAAATGGGACTGCTGGCTGGTATTACAAAGCCAATTATATCTTGTGGATAATGCTTCCCCAAATTATAGTTAAAAGACAATATAAGCTTTCCATGAATTTTTTTTTCCTTTTTCCTTCCCTTTCCTCCCCCATCTCCTCCTTCCTTTTTTCCCCTCCTTCATTCTTTTTTTTTGTTTGTTTGTTTTTTTTGAGGTGCCGGGGTTGGAACCGAGGGCATTGCACATGCTACATCCAGCTCTGAAGCTTTCGCTTCTGATATCAAAAATATTTTTTTAAGTAAAATGATTATAATAGTGAATTACTCACTTGTCAAAGATGTTACTTAGCAAAATAAGAAGGATGGCAATGTTTTGACCCTTATAATTTTTTCTTACTAATTTTTTTTTTTTTGCCAGTACTGGGGCTTAAACTCAGGCCTGGGCACTGAGCTTCTTTGGCTCAAAGCTAGCACTCTCCCACTTGAGCCACAATGCCACTTCTGGCTTTTTTGTTTGTTTATGTGGTACCAAGGAATTGAGCCCAGGGCTTCATGCATGCTAGGCAAGCACTCTAACACTAAGCCACATTCCCAGCCTCTTCTTAAGTTTTTTAGCCACTGAAATCTAAAACTACTAGAACTCTTGTCAAACATGAAATTGTTTTCTTGAAAGTGGTCATTAAAATTTGCCTCTATTTTTGTTAACACTAAATTAAATCAACTTACCACATATAGTTTCTTCAAGCATATTTGTATATTAGCGTATCCTGTTCTTTTAGACTCCCCACATGCGATAGGGAAGAATTAAGCTCATGGTTACCATTTGACAGATGAGGATGTTGAGACCTAGGGAAGCAGATCATATTATTTTCATGTACCCAGCACGTCAAGATGTATCATTAGAATACATCCTCCTGGTGCTCCAGGTCAGTTCTAGTTGGAGAAAGAGAGCAATTCTTTCACACGAGTCTATTTCTGGCCTAGAGAAAAGGAATGCCTTGAGAGGTGATTAGCAATTGTCATGTGAAGGGGAATTGTGCCATGTATTGTTCTCCTGGCACTGCTCTATGCTGTTCTACTGAACTTTGTTAAATGTGGAAAAGGTAAATAGGTGGAAACAATGAATAAGCATTCAGAGGAAAAATGCTTTGGTGACTATTTTTGTTTCTTTACTGTTCTTTGAACCTTTCTTTTTTCTTCTTTTCTTTGCTTTCTCCTTCATAGTTCTCTTCCAGCCTTTTTAGCAAGCCGGAAGAGCCCAAAGATGAATCTCCTTCTTCATGGAGACTGGGACTCAGAAAAACTGGCAGCCACAATATGCTAAGTGAAGTGGCCAATTCCAGGGATGCTCTGCGGGACCGAGGCCTTTCCATCTACCGCTCTTCATCAAGCCCCCGGATCTCTGCTCTGCTGGACAATAAAGACAAGGTCTGGGGGAATTCCAAGGCAATTTTCTTCTATGAAAAGTCAATTCTGGAAACAAATGAAAGTATTTTCTAGTCCATAAGTTGACTGCGGAGCAGAAAGTTTTTAAAGGGAAACAGATACACTGATAGTGTGACCAAATAGCTATTTGTTAGCTATTATTTGCTTGGCCAGAAAAAAAAAGTACCTTTTCCCTATGGCTGGCCTTATGTTCATTCTTCTTTATCCCCTTACCCAGATCAAAATAGTTGTTCAGAAGAAATTGCCTAAATGGTTCTTCTGAACCCGAAACTTTTTTTTTTTGTTGTTGGTTATAGGGCTTAAACTCTGAGCCTGGGCGCTGTCCTTCAGCTCTTCAGCTCAAGGCTAGCACTCTACCACTTGAGCCACAGTACTACTTCTGGTTTTCTGGTGGTTTATTAGAGATAAGAATCTCATGGACCTTCCTGCTTGGGCTGGCTTTGAACTGTGATCCTCAGAGCTTAGCCTCCTGAGTAGCTAGGGTTACAGGCATGAGCCACTGGCTCCTGGCTCAGAAACTTATCCTTGATATTCAAATACTCCTTAGTTCAATTGTGAATCTTAATGCAGTTCAGGCACATTAGTAATTAGAAAAATTGTTTTTCTTTTCTTTTTTTAGTTTGAGACAAGCAGGCTTGGAACTTGCTATATAGACCAACCTGGCCTTGAACTCTTCTAACAGTCTCCCAAGTAAAAGGATTACAAGTGTGTGCTCCCATATCCAGCCTAGGAAATAATTTGAACTTATTTCTTTCATTTGTAGAAATCTGATCAGGTTAACTTCATGAGCACTTCATCCATAAAGTCATTAAAGATGAGTTTGGTTCCAAATTTTATTAAGGTTGTTCAGTATTCTTGTCTGGGGTCATGTCTTCTTTGTGATCATAGTCTTCTTACTGTGTCTTGCATTTCTGGACACTTCTTGAAGTGGTAAGGTATAGTGGTTGGGTTAACTCTGCAGCATATTTGCTATTTATGCTCCTAAGGACACTACATTTAAAGGAAAGATATACAGGAGACTAAGTCAAGCTAATTTCATTGAGAACATTAGAGTAGAGCTCTCTGTGGCTTTTCAAAGACTCCCTTTCTCTCTTGACAAGGTTGCTGCTTTTTATAGTCTTTGCTACTGGCTTCTTTATTGGATCATCCTGGCTTTTCTCTTGAGAATTATATCCCTTTGTATGGGGTTTTAATGAAAGGAAGTTAGGAATAAGTTTTTGAAAGCTAATATTTTATAATAACACTCAAAATGGAATTATTATTGACTGTAGATAGATTTTATAGGTATATTAATTTCTACCTTTTTTGCTCAAAATGTTTTCTGCTCTGTCAGTTTTCTGCCTTTTCTGTGCTTTACTTATTTCTATTTTACAGGAAAGAGAAAACAAAGGCTATTTTAGTTCACTAGTTCCCCGGAGGCTCAGCAGCACAAGTGACATTGAAGAAAAGGAGAACAGGTAATCATAAGATAGACCAAAACATGATTTCTTTTATCTTCTCTGGGCATAGTGGTCTCCTGGCCGTTATTCCTCTACCTTTTTTCCATAAATGTGCGTACACATTATGAATTGGTTTTTCTTCAACTTAGAATACCTCCTAGCCCTTACTCCCTTGTTTTGCCAGTTCTTTACTCGTCAAATTCTAACTTTAGCATAGTTAGACATTGCTGTTTGTAGGACATCTGTGACCCAAGTGTGAGTTCATTTTAGTACCTCAGAAGCTCTGTAAAAGAAGTCTGTGTCTCTCTGGTTTTATGCCTATAACATAGTAAACACTGAAAATATAATTTGAGTTGATCAACTTCTAATTTGTAACTAGCCTTCCTCATCTGGTAAGATTAGTATAGAGACTTTGAAATATATGTGCATCTTGGCCTAATCTACAATGTTTGTGAAGGTGTGGTCCTTTGACCAGCAGTAACAGCCTCATCTAGGAACATGTTAGGAGTACAGAATCTCAGGCCATACCACAGAACTGTTCATTGAGATTCTACATTTTGAGCCCGGCACTGGTTGCTCACGCCTATAATCCTAGTACTCAGGAGACTGAGATCTGAGGATCACGGCTTGAAGCCAGCCTGGGTAAAAAAGTTTTTAAGACTCTTATCTCCAGTTAACCACCCCCTAAGAAACTAGAAGTGGTGCTGTTGCTCAAAGTGGTAGAGCTTTAACCTTGAGCAAAAGAACTCAAGGACAGCATGCAGACACTGAGTTCAAGCCCACTACCAACAAAAAAAACTACATTTTGAAAGAATTCCTAGATAATTGAAGTACAATAAAAGCTTGAGAAGATTGTTCTAGAGACTTGTATGAAATACGAAGACCCATAACCTTACCAGCAAAGACCCCAAGTTATCAATGTCGATCCAAAATCCTGTCTCTTCTCTAAAGAGGTGCCCAGAAGCTCTCCTTTTCTTTTTCTCGTCTTGTGATAGACTTCTTCATCTCCCCCACTAATCCCTTCTTTGCTTAATCAATAAAAACCTGCTACTGAATACTTATTACAAGGAAATAAATTAAGGAACAAAAGTGACTCTTCATTACAAAAGGGCCCTTTGATATAAGGAATTTGGTACCTGTTGAAATGATCTGGCTTTGAAGTTGATAGATGAAAGCCAGCAGTAGCACTTGTGTTCTGTTTTAAGAAAACAGGTTTATATAATAGAATCACTTAGAAGATACATTTCTTTAGCCATATTTTAGTTTGCTGTTGGCTTTTCTCTCTGTTTGCTTTGTATCCTGGGTAAAACTGGTGGTACAAATCAGTGTTTTGTTTGATTTGCTTTCATGTCTCTACAGAGAATCAGCTGTTAATCTAGTAAGGAGTGGCTCCTATACCCGGCAGCTCTGGAGGGATGAAGGGAAAGGCAATGAAACCCAACAGAAAATTGCTCCTTCCAACTATGTATCAACCTATTTGAAAAGGTACCAGGTGCAAAGGAGTAGGCAGTGATTTTCCTTCACTATGGCTATGGGAACATGGGTAATAACTGCATGCCTTTTTATATCCAGTTATCCAATGAATCAACAAATGAATTGCTTTTAGATTTCTTGGGATTAACATTTTGACTAATTTAAAATTAAAAGTTAATGTGTTCTCTTAATAACTGAATTAAAATATGTTAATTCTAAATTTTCACCACTGACCTGACTTTATACCCAATCTTCTCAGTCCTAGTAAAATCTTTTATCAGAAGTGACTTCTAGTAATCTCTGGGAAAGATTGAATTTAAAACATCCTTGTCCAGTAGCTGGTTTTCTATTTTCTAAAACTAGTCATTCCCATTTCAAGTTATATTTTTGTGGGGAGGAAGGGCGGGACTTTCGTAGGGTGGCAAGGGGTTGGAAAGGGGAATAGTTTTCTGTTGCATTAAAGACATTTCATATTACAGCCTGTTAATTTAGGGACTTGAGTTATTTTTTTTTATGACTTTAATGGCCCTCAGATCCATCAAGATGTGAAACTCGCAAGTTTGGTGCAGAGAAGGTACTTGGGTTTCCTTCTTTTTTTCCTCTCATCTGTATTCCCTTTTCTGCAGTTATTTTCTTTGCCACAGCTAGCCAGCAAGCAAAGCATCTTTGCCAGAACCATTAAGCTACAAGATACACTTACTTAATATTTTAATTTGAACTTTGCTGCTGATGTGGAAAGAATCTGTTTTTCATTGCTTACTTTCAATTCTTTCTTCACTTCCACTTAATGCCTCCACCTGCCTCTTTCATGCATTTGTCATGAGGTTTTCTAGATGACTGATTGGTTACCTTCCATTGACGATAAATTGTATGAGCAGATTAGTTGTTTGGGATCAAAAGTGATCTCCACCTGACAAGAAGGCACTTGGTCAAATAGTTAATGTCACTTGAGAAATAAAAAGCTATCAAAGAAACAGCCTTTTAACTATCTTCAGTTCTGCAGATTCATTATAAGAAAGGGCTCAACAGTGAAATTGTACAAGTATAGCTTAGTGATCTGACAGGCATTCATAGAAACCAGGGCCTTCAAGAGGCTATAACCTATTTGTCTTTTCTTTAGTTTTGTTACGGTCAAATCTAAGATCAAAAACTTTTCAAGGAAAATAATGTTCTGGATCTAGGAGAGAGAGAAAAGTGATGCTTAGTTTCCAGGCAGTTATTTTGTTGATTTTCATGAACACCAAGTCATGAGCAAGTGAACTGAGTGGCATTTGGCTTGATAGATGTAATTGCCAGACTTATAGTGGACAGAGGAGAGAAGGGCTCCCTCTATTTAAGATAGAAAGTATGCTCGATTATATAAGCATTTTTTGAGAAAAGATATACAGCTTGCTTCATACCTGAATTTTCAAAGTTCATCTTATGTAATCCCAAAACACATTTTGATTTTATAAATTTCTGTCTTTTCAAGAAATAATCATATGTTCCATTTGAAAAAGAAAGTGCAAGTAGGAATTTGTTGTTCCCTGTCTGCGACAAATCTTGGTATGAGTTCCATTTTCTGTCACCTCTTGTTTACTGACAAGCATTAACTTCCTGTGGCCCAATAAGATGCCTCTTTTCCAGAGAAGATTTCATGACTTTTTATGATCATCCCCTGAAGTGTCTCATTACTTTTCTAGTCAGGAAGTATTTTTAATTCTAATCTAGATAATTTTTTGCTGCAATCAATACAGTTCTTACCTGTCTTCAACTAAAATAAGGGAAAATGGGCTCTTAGTACCCATAGTATTACTTTCTAGATTTAAAGCTTTTAGTCCTTTAATTGTTGTTTTAAGCTAAATAACTGTAGTTCTCAGTCATTTTTTTTCATAGTGCTTCTTCTTTTACAACTTTTACATTTACATTTCTAAAACCTCTCCAAATTTCTATGGTCTTACTCTGGCTTCTGTAGTACTACTTCCCTATCAGGCTGACACTTGGGGGTGCATGATTTTTTGTATTGGGTTTGTTGAAGATTATTTCTTTCTAATAGAAATTTGCTATTTCCTGTTATTTACATTCTTACTTTCTACTGTTGACATAAATTCTATTTTCCTGCTTTTCTGTGTTAAATATCATCTCTCCTTCACATTTCTTCACTCTTTTTGATGATTGACCAAGATATCATCTTTCAAAGAGTGATGATTGCTTCTTTCTTTTGGATGATTGCCTGCTTGCTGCCAGCCACCTAGCTCCAGCTGGAGTTGAGTACTCCACTTCCCAGTTGCCCCTCTCTTTGGTCTTCATTCCTTTTAAGTGCACAATATGGGTGGGAAGGTGGTGCTGGGAAATGGTGGATGAGCAGCATGTCCTGAAGAAAGTGACTATGTGCTGTTTTGCAGTGCTTCATTTGGTAGAAGTAGTGATCCCACAAGTCCCTACATTTCAGCCAATCGCAATTCATCTTCTGCTACCTCACCCATTACCATTGGTTCATCTACCTCTCGGGGCAGCCAGTGGCAACCTGCCTCTTCTTGCCCTGCACCAATCAGTACAAACACTACTGCATCTATACAACCTGGCAGGTAAGGCTTCTTGGAGCCATTTGAGTCACGTTCATCAAAGTTAATACCCTGGAAACACATAAAATTTGAACCAAAGAGGCTGTACCACTATAGAAGCAAGTTTGAATTACTGTGAAAATGTCTGCAACTTAATGAAGATGCTTTTGATGTTTTGTGGAATGTATCATTGTACTTGGCATTCGGGTCAACTTGGCATGACTACTTTTATTTCTCAGTAATATTACCAGTTGTGATAACAATTTAAGGGTCAGTCCTGTTGTAGGAAATAAGTACCAAACATATTCCTATATATTATATTAGCTTTCTAGTAATTATGAATAGACATTTGCATTCTAGGGGTGATAGAATCTTGATTTCTGGTTCATAGAGGCTGAGGGTAGCAATTGCAGCAGTACTTTAGCTTTAGTTCTAACTGTGGTTTGTAATTCTTTTCATGTTATCAGAAGTTCTTTTAGGTCTTGTCCCTACAACCGACCCAAAGAAAATGAAAAAAACTGTTAATGATGATAGTGTTTTTCAAGAACTCTGGTTATGGCGATGGTTAATTGATGTCTGTCATTTACTAGGTTTCTTTCCCTGAAATAACTAGTTATCATTCTCTTGGCCAAAAGCACAGATTTGTGATTACTACTGTTGATGTATAATTATGTGGATATTTTTAGGTCTTCATAATCAGCCCCCATAATAATCTAGCTGTATAGACATTATCACCAAAACACCAGAGGGCTGGAGATGTAGCGTGGTGATAGTGCCTTTACCTAGCATGCTCAAGAAAGGTCCTGAATTCCATCCCCAGCACTGGGCGGTTGGGGGGGGGGGGAATTCATGGAGGTTTGTAGTTTGCCTTGCGTGTAAGAAAGCCTTGAAATAGAGATAACATACTACCTTCAGAGTTGTTAAAGGATTCACATTCTTTTTTTTGGTCATTCTCTTCTTTAATCTTTACACTAAAGCTTCTATTTTCAAGGATTGCTTCATGTTTCAAAATAACTCCTGGAGCTGTATACATTGTGGCTACATTCTAGGCAGGAAGCAGGAGGAAAGTAGGAAAGAGGAAAAGAGAGAATCCTTCTAAACTGGTAATTTTCTGAGAAACACTAATTTCTTGCTCTCTTTCATTTCATACTTCAAGGAAATATGGATTTTTAATAGTACATTACTGCCCTCAGTTATACAGGTATTCCATATGTAAGAGGGGGAAAAATGATGACTGTGGTTAAGCAGCTAGCTGCCTCCAGCAAACAGTCTTGTTTTATAGATGAGGGAACAGACAAAAGCTTCCCTAATCATCTGTTCAAGATCCCATAGTGAGGGAGAAACTGAAATAGGATTTGAACCCAGATTGTCCACTGCAGGGATCTTGTCTATTGTGTCATAGTTTAGTTTCCACTGAGTTTATATTGTATTCTAGGTACTATGTTAGATCTTCTACATACATTGTTTTATTTCATCATCATAGGGATCCTCTTTGTCAGGGTATTACTGCCTCTGTTTTACAGGTGAAAAAGAGATCATTACATTGGCTTAAACTTAGCCTCAAGTTCTTCCAAACCCATGATTTAGCTGACTTCACCATACAGCTTTGATCCTTACTACCAAGCTTCCCCTACTCTGTTCCTTCTAGTAAAATTACAACATGTTTCTAAAATCTCTGGCATCCCAGGAGCTTAATACAAGGCAGAGAGACCAAAACATGTTATTATTTTTTTAAAATAAACTTCAGGGGCTGTGAAGGTGGTTCAGTGGTAGAGCGCTTGCCTTGCATGCCTGAGGCCCTGGGTTTGATTCCTCAGCACCACATAAGCAAAAAGAAAAAAGCCGGAAGTGGCGCTGTGGCTCAAGTGATAGAGCGCTAGCCTTGAGCTAAAGAGCTGAGGGACAGCACCCAGGCCCAGAATTCAGGCCCCACGACTGGACCCCCCAAAATAAAAATAAATAAATAAATAAACTTCAGGTAATATTGTAATAAGTATAGTGCCTTAACCTAAAAGAGTGACCCTCTTGCCTCAGCCTCTTAAGTAGCTAATTTTTTTTATAGCTGTGCTTTAGCCTGATCTTATTAGTACTTCAAATTGACTAATTTTGCCATCAGTTTTTAAAATTAGAAAATATATAGAGTGAAGGAAATGTATTTACTGTAACCCTTTTGTACATTACCTTTACAATAACAATAAAAAATTGAAAAAAGAAAATACATACAAATTTTACCTTATTCTAAGTTATTAATTGCTTCTAGAGAAGTAACTTGTATATTTTAGAGATTATTTCAGTCTTCAAAAATATTCTGTTGTATCTTCTGTCATGCCTGGCTACTAAGAAGGCTGAGATCCTGAGAATCACAGCTTGAAGCTGAGACTTTCATCTTCATTTAGGCAGAAAAAAATCCAGAAGTGGGAGTGTGGCTCAAGTGGTAGAGCACCAGCCATGAACAAAAAAAGCCTAGTGAAAACTCCAGGCCCATGCAGCATGTAGGTACACACACACACATACACACACACACATACACACACACACATACACACTCACACACACACACACACACACACACACACACACTGAGAACTCCAGGCCCATGCACACACACACACAGTGAGAACTCCAGGCCCATGCGCGCGCGCGCGCACGCACGCACGCACGCACACACACACACACACACACACACAGTGAGAACTCCAGGCCCATGCAGAATGTAGGTCTACACACATACACACAGGGTTTTTGTTTTAGGCCAGGCACAGTGGTTCAGGCCTTTAATCCCAGCAGTAGGATTAAAGTTGTAAGCCAGCCTAAAGCAAAGGTTAGTCAGTCTCCTGTCTCAAAAGCAGAGCATGGAAGTACATGTCTGTAATCTCAGTTTATGTGGGAGGCAGTAGGTAGGAGAAGGCAGTAAGTATGAGGATGGCAGTCCAAGGCTGGCCCTGGGCAAAAACAAAAGATATTATTTGAAAGATAAAGCAAAAAAAAGGCTGAGGGCATGGCTGAAGTAGAGTGTTCTCCTAGCAAGCAACTGGGCCTAAGTTCAGAACCCAGTACTGACCCCAAGTATTCTAATATTTACACCTGGATACCATAGTTAAGATGCTACTTTTAGGATGTGATTGTTTCTTTAAGCTTATTGTAATAATGTGATTATTTTGGAATTGAGCTCCTTGTAAACACCTCTGATAATGATTGTGAGTAGGTGGAAAACAGATTTTTAACATTCATGCTTTTCATTGCTTTTCCCATCTCGTGAGTATCAATTTTGGATCTCTGTTACCCCAGCAACAAGCTGTGACATCACAAATGATAGCTTTTTGGGTGGAGAGCCAATGGTTGCTCCTAACTCTTTGTTCAGATACAAAGCTCTTGTTTTTCCATAAATGAGTTTAATTATACAGCTTGCTGTTGAAGTCTGTAGTTAACGTTGCATATAGAATCCTGCTCTGTTTTTGTTTCAGTTTCTAACTTGTGCAGTTAGGAATGTAGACAATTAGACATTTGGTTAAATTGGAAAGCGGCTGCAGTTACTGAACTGGGTTAAAGACAACTAAACATACTGAGGTTGTGGGATGTTTTGCAAATGGATAATCCAAGAAGATGGTTGTCAAATCTAGGCTGATGACTGCCACAAAGACTGTCACTGCCAAGAATTAAGGGACAGGTGGAGATTAATATCGTAAGTGACTTTGGTGTCTTTTTCATGTGTAGAGAGACTCTGCATGTTTGGAGGGAGGCCAGATGGCAATGAGGAATCTTAAAACACTCTTGCATGTCAGTATTTTGCCTTTTGCCATAGCTAATTTTTGTCCCTCTGGTTTTTAATCTCATGCAAAAAAAACCAAAAATGTCAAAATGCAAGTCTTTCGGCAAAGGATATCAGATTCTATGTATATTATTGAAAGATTTAGAACTCTGAATAAATGAAGTAACAAAATCTGAACAGGAAGATTCTCTCATTAGGTCTATCTCTGAGCCTCCTTCCTGCAATGCTTTGTTGTAAAGCATGCCTGATCGTTCTGTTCATGTCTTTTTTCATTTCAGGACTCCTTACAGATCCCAGGCTGATTCTACTGCAGAGAAAGCAGCAGACAGTATTTCTTCTGGTACCCCACTCTGTGTCATCACTAATCGCCCTCCACCTAACACTACCAATGGGGTTACTGCTGCTTCTGTGCCCTCCTCTCCTGGAACAGACTCCTCTGTGGAAGGCAGGGAGAAGAGGAGGTATGGTAGCTCAATGAAACCTTTGTGACATTCTACTTTGGGGTAGGAGATAAAGGAGTGAGAGTGAAGTGTTATCCCCAAGCTCAAATTTTTGGAACTGGATCTTCATTTTTTTTTAAGGGTTCTGTCATTTGCTTCTAGAAAAGCTTTTGGTAGAGATCTTAATTATTTCTAGTTAGTTAGCATTTATTCTTTTATAGACATAGTCATAAGTTTTTGTATTTGTCTCATCAGAGCAACCATTGTCAAGTATTGTTTCTGAATTTTGTAATGGGGAACTTGAAGCACAGAAAAAAATATCTTCTGGGTAGTCTGATGAATTCTCTGTCAGCAAAAAGCTATTAACTGTCAAAAAAATCAGAGAAGGAAATGAATACAAGGGAAAGGAAATGATATGGTTGAAGGGTAGAGACTGTATATCCTTTTCTTTTTTCTTTTGACTGCTAGAAGTTGAACCCAGGGTTTCACATGCTAGGCAAAGTACTTTGCTACTGAGCTATATCCTAAGCACCTACTTTTTTTTCTTTTTTTTGAGACAGTCTCATTGTATGGTCCAAATTGGTCTTGAGTTTGTGATCCTCCTCTCTCAGCCTCCTGAGTGCTAGGATTACAGCACTGCACCAATGACCCCTATATGCTGTAGTTTCTTTTTTGTTCATGGCTGGTGCTCTAACCACTTGAGCCAAACCTCCACTTCTAGCTTTTTTTTGTCAGTGGTGGCAGTTAGTTGGAGATAAAAGTCTCACACACTCTTCTGCCCAGTATAGTCCTTCAGATCTCAGGCTTCTGAGTAGCTAAGACTATACATGCAAACTAACAGTCCCCAGGACTCTGCAATTTTTCTAGAGAGAAATTAGGAGAGCATGGGAAAAATCAGAAGAAGCTACAAAGAATATTTGGGTGGGGAAAGTATTAGAGCTTGAACTCCAGAGCCTTGTACTTATTAGGCTCAGCAAAGGCCCTTGAATACTTGAGCTATAGTTCTAGCTCTAAGAACGTGTGTGTGTGTGTGTGTGTGTGTGTGTGTGTGTGTGTGTGTAGATACTGGGGCTTTGTGTGTGTGTGTGTGTGTAGATACTGGGGCTTGAACTCAGGACTTTGAGCTCTTATTCAGCTTTTTTGCTCATGCCTGGTGTTCTACCACTTGAGCCACACTTCTAGGTATGCATTTTGCCAATTAATTGGAGATAAAATCTTGGAGACTTTCCTGCCAGGCTAACTTTAAATCAAAATTCTCCAGATGACAGCCTCCTGAATAGCATAGATTACAAGCAAGAGCCACTGACAGCCAGCAGAAGAACTTTTTAATTGTTAGGATCAAGACCTTGGAGATTGTGACCAAGGAAACATAGACTATTTCTTCTACTTAAAAATGTATGAAAAGGGCTGGGAAGGTGGCTCAGTGGTAGAGCGCTTGCCTTGCATGCATGAGGCCCTGGGTTCGAGTCCTCAGCACCACATAAGCAAAAAGAAAAAAGCCGAAAGTGGCGCTGTGGCTCAAGTGGTAGAGCGCTAGCCTTGAGCTGAAGACCTGAGGGACAGTACCCAGGCCCAGAGTTCAGGCCCCAAGACCAGACTTCCCCTCCCCCCAAAAAAGTGGAATGCACTCCATTTGGGAATCTTCGATCTACTTGAAGATTAAGTGTGTAATTATACTTTTTCAAGACTGTAAAAGAGGTGAAATTCTATCAAAATTCAAATTTTACTTTGATTTATTTTGAATATCCAAAGGAAGAATTTATATTCATGAGTGTATATGTATAATAAGAAGTCAGGAAATGTTATCAGCTAAAACATACTGGAAGAGAAAAACACTTTGGTAGCTTATTTTGCAGACAGCTCTACAAAACACAAGACAGGAAAGGAAGAGAGATAAGTGAGTTGGAAAATAATATTTTCTGCTTCCTTTTTTGTTACTTCTTTGCATAAAATATTAAAGGAAGCCAGTTTTCTGGGCTGACAGTTTTCAGAACAACAGTTATCCTCTTTTAATTGATTTCCAGAAAGGGAAATTCTAATAAATCAGTAGTGAATATTAATGCGTATGTATTTACTATCTCAGATATAATATAGATATTTTATTCAGAAATGAAATGCAAAAGTAATCTTTTCATTAGCTAGCGAAAACCTTTAAAATATTTCTGAGGTGAAATACATAATACAAGTTCATTAAGATTATCCTTCACAAGGATGGGAAGATCAAGTTTGTTAGCAATGTCTTGTTAAGTTCCTAGTTAACATGAACTGTTAGAAAAACTCAATGACTGCCTTCTGGGAATTTTATGATCCATAATGAAAAGAGAGTACTTGCTACATATTTTGTGTTAGTTTTATTCAGTCAACAAATCCTATTGAGTACCTTCTGTGTACCACATAAGATTTCCAGAACATGTTCCCTCAGGAAGCAGCAGCTATGAGGATATATGGATTAAGTCACGGTTTTAGTGAATTGTGGCTAAGTGCAATAGTTCATGCCTGCAATCCTAGTTACTTGGAGGCAGAGATTGAGAGGATCACAGTTTGAGGCTAGCCTAGACAATAAGTTAGTGAGACCCCTATATCAGCCAATGGCTGGGCATGGTGCTGGCACGCATTTATTATCCTAGCTATGTGGAAAATGTAAAAAAAAAAAAAAAAAGGACTGTCATATAGGCTGGCCCAAGCATAAATATCACCACAAAATGATTAAAGTAAAAAAGGCAGGGGGCATGGCTAGAGTGGTTGAATACCTGCCTAGCCAAGCTTAGGGTACCTGGGATGTGACTGTAAGTTGTGTAGGGGGAGGGAGGTTGTTGTTTTGTTTTTGCAGCACTAAGATTTGAACTCATCTTTGACTCTCCAGTGCTCTACTGTGGTGCCCTGCCTGAAGCCCTTTAGTTGAATTTTGAAGGGCAATTGGAAATTAATAAGTAGTAATGACAAATTAATAAAGATGGATGGTGTTTTAGAAAAAACATAAGCAATTCAAGAAACATACAAGCTTGATGTGCTTGAATCTGGGAGAAGTTAAGGTCTATGTTACATTTCTGAAAGTGTCTTTTTAGGAAATAGACTTCATTGAAGGAGGATATAAAGTGTTTTTGTGGCCAAATGCATTTGGGAAACAGAGGGTTAAACAGAATCAGCCAGAAGCCTTCTCAGGACATTTCCATCTGGGAGGAAGGGTAAAGAGTATGGCTTCAGGTGGGTAGAATGCAGCATGTATGTCTCTAATAGCGTTTTCCCCTATGGAAACCCCAAACTGGTATTCCTTTGTGTAGCTGAAGAAGAGACAGAAACCAAATCATATAGAGTGTCATCTGTGCTTTGTTGAACACTTGATCTTCCTATATCCTATAAAATTAAGAAGCATGAGGGAAAGGGTAGGAAGTGGAGGAACAGGTGAGAATGTTGAAAGGGGTGACATTGATCAAGATATATTGTATTTACAAGCTGCTTTGTTAAAGGCAACTCCTTTGTACAACTACAAAAAGAAAAGAAAAACTTGATCTTCACCACTGATTACCAGTGGCTCACACCTGTAATCTTAGCTACTCAGGAGGCTGAGATCTGAGCTTTGAGGTTCAAAGCCAGCCAGGGCAGACAAATCCAAGAGTCTCATAGCTTCAATTAACCAGATAAAAGCTGGAAGAAAAGTTTTAACTCTGAATAGTAGAACATCAATCTTGAACAAAAAAGCTCAGGGACAGTGCCTAGTTTCTAAGCTCATGCCCCAGGACTGGCACCAAAAACAAAACAAAACAAAACAAACCTTTGATTTTCTATTCTCAAAGCTATGAAATACAACTTGAGATTTTTAGCAGGGGAATGATTTGATCAAATAAAACGTTTCATTTAAACCATTACAGAATTAAAGCCATTTTAGTTTCTCCCTGTAGACAAGCATGCGCTGAAAGAGAAAAAAATCAGATGTTTTGAAAACAGCTAAAATTTCCTTCTGAAAGAGCAAGCTGGGTGATAATTCTTCTCCTTTGAAGCTGCAGCTTCTCTGTAATCAGCTCATTGTGGAAATGTTTCAACTCCTAATGGGAAAGCTTGATGGAGGCCTAAAGCCTGTGTTCGCAGGTCCAATTTGAAACAATTCGTGAGCATTGGGATAAATGGGGCTTTGAAACTGGCCACCTTAAGACCTAAGCAATGTAAAGTCTTCTATCAGAAATAATCTTATAACCAGAGCACTTAGACTGGGGAATGGATCTTACCATTACATTTCACAGCTGGCTCTACCTTTTAGAGGTTTTGTTCTTAAAGAAGATGGGTGAGTATGCATACCAATTGACCGGAAACAGTTTTCAGCCTTATACAGATTGTTAAATGAACAAAGCTATATGCAGAAGGATACCTTATGATACCAAATAGAACAAACATGGAAACCTTAGCACTGGAAGTTTGGGAAGTTTTCTGAACTTTTTTTTGTTTTTTTTCTCTGTCGTTTGTGGAGCCTAATCTCTGGGCTTGGGCACTGTCCTTCAGCTCTTCAGCGCAAGGCTAGCGCTCTACCACTTGAGCCATAGCACCATTTCCGGCTTTTTCTACTTATGTGGTGCCGAGGAATTCAACCCAGGACCTCATGCATACAAGGCAAGCTACCACTGAGCCACCTTCCCAGCCCATGAACTCATTTTTATTTTTCTGTGTTTTCCAAAGTTCCTTATGAAGGTATTAGTGTTATAATGGGGCACAAGGAACAACAGGGCTTGAAAAAAATAAGATGAACCCTAATAACCACAGGCTCTTACTGGTGTAAACCTATGGAAATGTTCAAGACCACTGACAAGTAAATTAAATAGAGATTCAAGGCTTAGAGGCATCTAGATCATTTGAGGTTTTGAATACAAGCTCCTGGCAGAACTTCCGAAAATTCATTATTTTTAAGAAGGACATAATCTTGGATTTATGAATTTCTCCCCTTACTGCTGCTCCCTCCACAAGCTTAGTGCACTCAAATGTACTCTCTTTACATAAAAAGGGAAATAGGAGTTATACTCTCCTATGTATGG